TCTTCCAACATGAAGGAGATCTTCCGTCTGTCAAAAATAAGAATCAAACAGCCGCACAGGCCTTTGAACCTACCTGAGCGAGAGATGAAAAAGAAGTCTTGTCCTGAAAACTGATGGCTGATAGTGACCTCCTAACTGTGCCATCCCTCGTCCCGGAAAAAATATCTTCTGCTTTGCGCGCAGCCTGTGGGTTGAACTCCAAGTCTAATGTTGAACTGTTCAGATAGCACCTGAAGACCCACAGTCCCCTCACCTCACCACCCCACCCCCACCACCACCCCGCACCACCCCCCACCCCCCTCTTGCCTCCTGCAAGACCCATCTCAAGACTCTCCTCTTCGATCGTCCCTCCTGGACAATGAAGTTGGAAACAGATGGAGGGCCGGCTAAGGCCCGTGGGCCGCCGGTTGGGTCACCCTGATTATCACCCCGTTGTTTACCTCCCCGAGACGCTACCCTACGGGAAACGCGCTGTGCAAATCAAAGTCGTCGTTGTTATTGCTGCACTGAGATCCCATTCCTAGTTTTCAATCCGTAGGAAAGTTCCATCCATAAGGGTCTAACTCGGATGAGACGTTGAGTCAAGGTCCTCGTGTCTGCTCAGGTGGGTGAGAAAGATCCCACGGCATGAATACAACAAAGGAAGGGATTTTCACAATGTCCTGACCGACAATCCCTCTCTTCCCCTCACCCCTTACTCCCCCACAAGCCTCGCACTGCCCCCCCCCCGCCACCCCTCTCCCCCCCAATTCCGCACGCAACCCTTGCCTTTTGGGAGACAAACCGGCTTTGGGTTTGTGTGGGGGGCTGAGACCGGGTGGAGTTCTAGACCACGCGAGCTCTGTCGGAGAGGAGAATTTCTGCGGCTGCAGGAACGTTTATGGAATGGCAGGAGCTGATGTTTGCCTCATGAATAAAATATAACCGCAGCGTGAAAGGCAGGAGTGTTCATACCCTGAAGGGAAAGTTTAGAAGGCTGGTGAGATGATTAGGTAATAGAGAAGAATGTGATGTCCAGTGGGTGGTTTGCGATTGCCTTTGGTCCTCTACCTTCCTGCATTGCCGTGACGATCGGCTTTGAGACGTCGGGGGCGGGGGGGGGAGGGGGCGGGGGGGGGTGGGGGGGAATTAATCATCTTGATATTGGTCAGGGCGACTTTCACGTCAGGAGGAACGTCCCAAAATGCTATCGCAGGATTTTAATCTTAACAATAATTCGGTCACTCAACCCACGACCGTTCGCGGTGACAATCAAACTCACGGTCGCCGCGCCCGACCCTGTGAGGCGCTGTGAGACGTCTCGACGACGTGATATATGAGGCGGAGCTGGGTCGGAAGCAAGGATTCTTACCATTATCCTTATTATCATTAACGACGACTGGCGCCTCTCACTTCGGGAGGGAGTCTCGAGACGAGGTGCCGGTGAGGGCTGGTAGGGAGAATGCGACGGAGCGAGAGAGAAAACGAGAGAAAGAGAGACAGAGAGAGAGAGAGTGATTGTGAGAGAGAGAGAGAGAGAGAGAGAGAGAGAAAGATATGGCGTTGGTGTATGTGAGGGTCACACTAAGCCGTTAGTCCGTATCCTCTTGTTTCACTTGCTCATCGACCTTCTGTCTTATTCCAGTGTTTTTCTATTTTTAGCCGAAGTTTTCCAGCATTTGCACTTTTTCTTCCGTTCTTTTGCTGGATTTTTTTTGGCTGAGCGGCTCGCTCGGCAGATCGCATCGCAGGTATAAGTGTGAGGGGGGTGGGGGCGGGGGAGAGGGCCGGGGGGGGGAGAGAGGGGGAAGGGATTTGCGGAGAGAGGATCCAATGTCAAGTTGGCTCTGAAAATTGTTCACGCCGCGGAATCCAAACAGTGCACACAGGTATAACTCTCCCACCACTGCCCAGCCACCACCCCCCACCCCCCTACCGCCCCCCTCTCCGACTGTGGTGGTGGGGGGGGGGTGGGGACAGAAGAAAGAGGGAAGAATGTTGTGGTCAGAGCGCTTGCCTCGCAAGTGAGAGGACCCGGGTTCGACTCCCGGTCAGGGCGAAACCTTAGGGAAGTTTCCTTACTCCACACACACACACGCACACACATGTCTCTGTTTACCAGCAGTGAGTAGTTACCCGGGTTGTTAGTCGATGGGGGGGGGCGGGGGTTGTTCTCCAGGGATAACAATTTGGTCACTCAACCCACGACTGTTCGTGGGGGAACGCTGCACTGCCCAATTGGCAGCCGCGTTTGGCCCACCAAGTATACAGTCACTCCAACTTGCTGTATATCCTGTGAAGCGCTTTGAGACGTCTCAACGACATGGTAAGGCGCTGTATCAAATGCAACGATTATTATTATTATTATTATTATTATTATTGCAGTAAATTGCCGTGATACGCCACCCCCCGCCCCCATACTCGTTGTGAACCCTCACCGGCACATCTGCTAAAGTCTTCAGAGCCAGAGCCCAGTGTTGAGGGCCAGAGTTCAAATACCATCAGTCCACAAACTGAAACCCACCCTCACCATGAAAATGGGAATAAGTGCCCGGCAAGTGACACCAGGAGAGAGGAATGTTACACAGAGGTCAAACCCTTTCTGTTCTCGCTTAGAAGCTGAAGGGAAGACTGAGGATGTGTTGGAGGCTCTTGTGTTTCTCTAACACCGTCCCCTCTCCTCTCCCCTCTCCCCTCTCCTCTCCCTCCCCCCCGCCTCTCCTCTCTCCCCTCTCCCCTTACTCATCTCCTCTTCCCTCCTCTCTCTAGACATCTCCGATTGACACTGACTGTGCTTATTTGCGTAGAACTCTGGCCTGTGATTCAGGACTGATCGCAGTCCAGGCTGACACTCCAGTGCAGTGCTGGGGGGTGGGTGGTGGGGGGGGGGGAGGTGTGCGTGAGGTGGGGGGGAATGATGCTGTGTATTCAGAGACGCCGTCCTTCAAGTCAGACGTTAAACCTCACTCCCCATCCGTGCCCTGGAAAGAGAAGGGAGTTGCTCTCTCTCTCTTTCTCTCTCTCTCTCTCTCTCTCTGTCTGACCTGGCCAACAATCCTCCGGATAAAATCAAATCATTCCCTACCTCACGGCTGTTTGGGGTTCAAACGCATCGGTCGCCACCAGTGATGATCGGCACATCAGGGGCAAGTGTCTCACCTTCCAGCCCAGATCGAACCGGGTGCTTGAAGAGAAGAGAGAGAGGGAGAGAGAGAGAGAGACAGAGACAGAGCAACAAAGCTTGAGATCTTTTTGGTGCTCAGGACCCTATCAACCAGTTGCAGTAAGTAGGTCGAGCCACCAAGGCCATGTGTGATACAGTATTCTCCTTGCACAGGTTGCCAGGCAATTGGGATACTTTGAGCTCAGGATAACCATCTATAATATAGTGGCTGGAAAGCTACACCTCACCCTCGTTCGCCCATTTCGGTCAAGGTGTTTGCACGAGATCGTCGCCTCAAGGCGTGTATGTGAAGTATGGAAAGTTTCGCCCCACATGGGAATGGAACCCAGGTCCTCTTGCCTGCGAGGCGAGGGCTCTAACCAATACGCCACAGGGAAACCTGTTCTGCTTTTTATCACTCTTGGCCTAGTATTTGCTAATGCACGGCAGACAGTCAGCAGAGAGTAAGTGACCTCTTTTTTTTTTGATGGAAACGCAAACGGGAAGGTATGTTCCCGAACCGTACAGGGCACGATCACACAGCGAGCTCCAGCAAACGGCAGTGTGGCCGAGGATTGTGCGCGCGTGCGCCCGTGCGTGTCGAGTAAGGAAATTTACCTTAGGTTTCGCTCCGCCCGGGGATCGAACCCGGGTCCTCTCGCTCGCTTGCCAGGCGAGAGCTCTAACCACGACTCGACAGGACTCCGCTGTGTCAGGCTGAGCGTGACGCTTAACATCAGACTCTTAAGAGGGCTGGAGTCAATCACTGATCCACTCCCAGCGGGGGAGCGAGTCAGGCAGTCAGTCAGTCAGTCAGTCAGGATAACATGAGGGAGGCTGGTTGGTTCGTTGGTTGTTTCGGAGGGAGGGAAAGTAAGGTAAGGGCAATGGCGGGTCAATACATATCAGAGCGTGACCTTAAACTGCTTTGCCTCTGAACCATTCCAATTGCAGCCCTTTTGTTTTAATAGTGCAAATCAATCATTGGAACATTAACACCCCCTGCACATCACAAAGCTTACATTTCACAAGGTAAGCGAAGGACAGGTATTAACATATATAAATATATATAATAAAGTTTATTTCTCCTTCCTCCCCCCCCCCCCCCCCCCCCTTCCCCCCAACCTTTCACGAGGGGTGACGGTGAGAATCCCTTAAAAAAAATGTAATTAATTCGGTCACTTTAATCCGCGGCTGTTTGTGCGGGGGGACGCTGCTGTGCGCAATCGGCTGCCGCCTTTCGCCCGCAAAAAATGCACGTCCAATTCACTTTACAGTGTATCCTGCGAAGGCACTTATTATTAATGATGTTATTATTAGTATTATATTCCGCTAAGTTGAATTGACTGTGTATTTTGTGGGCGAAATCCCTACTTACTACCAGAGTCCCCGAAATCGAGAGAGAGAGAGCGAGCGAGAGAGCTGACTGACTGAGACAAACCCGACACCTACAATGCAATATATAACAACAACTCGCGTTCATAATCACGCGGAGGGCGTGATATAAGCCGCGATCAAAGAGGAAGGTCTTCAGTCGGGAATGGGGGGTGGGGGGGGTGTTGGAGGGGTGGGGGGGAGAGACTTCCAAAGCTTCCAGGGGACAGGGACGGGGCGGAGGGGTTAGCGGCGGAAGGGGAAAAAAAAACTGGTTGGGTGGAAGCGGAAAAAAACTGGTTGGGGTTTGGGTCATTTTTTTTATTGTTGCTTTGAAATCAGTCCACACCTGGAAAAGGGAGGGAGTGGGGAGGGATTGGTTGGATGGGGGGTGGTGGAGAAAGAGAGAGAGAAAGAGAAAGAGGAGAAAGAGAGAGAGAGAGAGAGAGAAGGCAGGGTTGAGAGTGAGAAAGAAAGTGTTGGAAAGGAAATCTATCTGTAGATGTCGCCCTCTCTCGTTAAAAGGAGGGTCCTGTTTTGTGTGTGTGTGGGGGAGAGAGAGAGAAAAAAATACTGCAACAGGTTTCCAGTGTATAAACATCACAGAGAGGGGGAGAGAGAGAGAGAGAGAGGAGAGATCAGAGAGAGAAGCTATAACACACAGCGTCAGAGAACAGGGAAGGTGTGCAGTAGCAAAGGAATCTCTCTCTCTCTATTTCTTTTTTCCCCCCTTCTCTCTCTCTCTCTCTCTGGTTGGCTTGGATGCAGTTGACCAAACACAAGGGGGGTATGTCCTGTGGTACCCCACATCCCTGCTGATGGATTAAGGGGAGAAAGAGAGAGAGAGACACAGAGAGAGAGAGCTGTGTGTGTGTCTGTGGGAAAAAGAAGGGACGTTGGTTTAAAGGCAGCAGTTGAGGAGCATCCAGTGGAATGCGGTAGGACATCTCAATCCCACCTTACACCTATCTCCCTCTTTCCCCCCTCCTCCCCAAACACCCACACTTTCTTCTCTTCCCTCCACCCCTTTGTCTCTCCACTCTCTTTCTCTCTGTGTCGGTCAAACCAGTGGGAATTTGGAGAAAAATAGCTAAATCCCATCTTACATTTTCCCATTTCTCTCTCTCTCTCTCTCTGTGTGTCTCTCTCTTTCCAACCCCACATTACACTTTAATTCCTACCTCTCCCCCCCCCTTTATTTTTCTCTCTCTCTCTTTCTCTCTCTCTCTCTTTCCACCCCCACATTACACTTTAATTTCTATTTATCCCCTTTATTTCCTCTCTCTCTCTCTCTGTGTCTCTCTTTCCACCCCCACATTTCACTTTAATTTCTACCTCTCTCCCCTTTTATTTCTCTCTCTTTCTCTCTTTCCACCCCCACATTACACTTTAATTTCTCCCTCTCCCCCCTTTTATTTCTCTCTCACTCTCTCTCTCTCTCTCTCGATAAAATCAGCTTTAATTTGTAATTTCACACAATGTTTTTCACACACAAACACTGCCTTCTCCCTCTGCCTTATGTGTTTTTTAAATTAATTATTATTATTAATTTGTTATAGATTCTAGAAGAGAGGAGGGATTTTTTTGGGGGGGAGGGGGAGGAGGAGATGTGAAAAGAAGGGAAATGTTTTTTAAATCAGATTTTTTTGGGGGAAAACACAGAGATAGATGTCTGTTTGAAATGTTTTTTATTGGGTGCTGTTATTTTTTTGCTGGAGGTTTTGGTCTTTGCTGTGTGGGTTTTTTTTTGTGGGTGGTGGTGGGAGGGGGGAGATTGGGGATTAATGTTCTGGTCTGCATTTTGGTGTGGATGGGGGTTAATGTGGGTTTGGGGGGGGAGAAGAACGAGTTTTTTTTCATTGGCAAAGATTGGACGAAAGGGAGAGGTTGGGAGAGGGGGAGAGAGGGAAGGAGAGAGGGAGGGGGAGAGGAAAATGGGGGGGGGGGAGAGTGGAGAGAAATAGGGATAGAGAGAGAGAGAGGATGGGGAAAGGGGGAGAAGGAAGGGGGATAGAGAGAGAGAGAATGAAGGAGGAGAGAGAGGGAGAGAGAAGGAAGGAGGAGAGAGAAGGAAGAGGGAGAAATAGTGATAGAGGTGGGGAAAGGGAGAGAGAGAAGGAGGGAGGGAGGGGGGAGGGAGGAGAGGAAAAGGGGTGGAGGGAGAGAGAGATCATAAGGGAGGTGTGTGTGTGTGTGTGTAGCTGGTACTCAATTAGCTGAGGGATGGGGGGAAGGAGAGAGAGAGAGAGAGACCCAAATATTAGGCACTGACCACTCACTCCACTGAACAGAGGTGAGGACCAGAGCGGCAGTTTATTTATCATCGAACAGTGTTCCTGCAGATGGTACCCAACTGGGAGGGGGGCGAGAGGGGGGGGAGAAGAGGGGGTGGGGGGTAAGAAGGGGGTGAGAGGGGGGGTGGGGGGAGAGAGGTGGGGTGGGGGGAGAGAGGGGCGAGAGGTGGGGGGGGGAGAGGGGCAAGAGGAGGGGGGTTGGGGGCAAGAGGGGGAAAGAGGGACAAGAGAGATAGAGGAGGAGAAACTGGAAGTGTGGGATGGAGAGAATGGGGGTTGGTTTGGGGGTTTGCTGTTCAGTTCAGGGGTAAAGCCTGTGTGTGTGTGGGGGGGGGGGGTTAGTGGGGGGGGGGGGGTGTGATGGGAGGGATCCTGACTATCTATCCTGACTTGTGTCTAAGCCCCAAATCCTGGTTTATATATATGTTTTTAAAAAATATTTGTTGCCTTGTGGTTTTCAGTCGGATTCCTGGGGCTGTGGGGGGAGAGAGGGGGAGGAGAGGGGGAGAGGGAAGGAAGGAAGGGGGTGGGGGTAAAATGGGGGGGAGGTTGGAGAGAGAAGGGGAAGGATGGAGAGATGGAGAGGGAGGGGATGGCTGAGTCAGTGGATGTGTGTGTGTGCAGTGACCAAAGGCTCAGTTGTGAATGTTTGTCTGTGTTGGGGTTTGAGACACATTATATAGACACTATCATAGTTTTATTCCACTCCCCATCTCCCTCTCCCTCTCCCTCCCTCCCTCCCTCCCTCCCTCTTTCTCTCTCACACACTCTTTCAATCTCTCCCCTGTATTCAAGACCGAAATCTAAACCTTTCCTATTCAAAAGAAAACACATTTACTGAACCCTTTACTGCATTTAACACTAATTAAAGTGTGGCAATGTATGGGTAGGATGCCAGTTTCTCTCTGTTCCCCCCCATCTCCCCCTCCATTCCCCCCCCCATTCCCCCCCATTCCCCCCCCCCCCCACCCCTGATCCTTTTTAATGTTCATTTCAGCAATGTAATCTGGATTTGGAATATAGTCGGATGGGTTGGGAGGGTATTTTTTATTCTGGGGGATATTCCAGGGAAGGGAGTCAGCTCCAGCGCTTCGTGTTACTTGTAAATCTGATGCTGAAGATGTAGAGAAGATGGGGGAAGAGGGGATAAGGTGGGGGGGGGGGGGGTAGACTTGGAGGGAGGAGAGAGATGCGGGGGTGGGGGGAGAGATTGGGAAGAGAGAGATTGGGGGGGGGAGAGAGATTGGGAGAAGAAATTGGGGAGGGATTGGGAAGGGGGACGGAAATTGGGGGGGGGAGGGAGAGAGAAATTGGTGGGGGGGAGGAGAGAGGGAGAAATTGGGGAGGGGGAGAGGGAGGGGAGAGAAATTGGGGGAGAGAGAGAAGAGAGAGAAATTGGGGGGAGGAGGAGAGAGAGAGAGAGAGAGATGGGGAGGGTAACTAACCCCCCCCCCCCAAAAAAAAAACCCTGTACTGTTTTTACAGCTGGTACCAGTTATCAGTCTGTTTGCTGCTATGAGATGGCGGTTGGCACTTTGCTGCTGAATTAGATTTACTGTCTCATCAATGGGAAACCCAAACCTGTGCTGCTTCATCCAGTGAGAGAGGGAGGGATGGAGGGAGGAGGGAGGGATGGATGGAGGGAGGGGGAAGATAAATAGAGAGAGAGAGAGATGTGTGGGTGAGAAGGGCGATGCTCTGTTGGCACAGTTTTATTTTCAGAATGGATCTTAACACTAAACCCACATTTTCTTTTCTTCCCCCTCCTCCTTAAATCCTCATCCCCCTCTCCACTCCTCCTCTTTCCTCTCCCCTTTCCATTCTCTCTCTCTCTCTCTCCCTTTCTTTCCCCACTCTCTCCTTTCCCCCCCACCCCGCTCCTTTTCCCCCTTTCTTCCACCCCCCCCCCACCATTCCCCGCTCTCTCCATTCCCTCTCCACTCTCCTCTCTCTCTCTCCCCCACACCCCCACCCCTCACAGATCCCAGTGTCCTTGCTGAAGCCCTCTCCGGTGTCACCGTTGGCGTGTGCGCTCGTGTGTCTCTCGATGGATCTGCGATTGCTGCCGATCGTGGTGTGGGTGTGGATGTTGGCCCTGGGTTCTCTGTGCCTGGCCAAGAACATGGACAGGTACCCCTTCCCGGAGGAGCAGCCCCCCAACACCCGCATCTGGAGCCCCGAGGAGCAGCTGGGAATGGAGAAGACCAACCGCCTGTTCAAGCTGGAGGTGGGGGCGCCATTCCTGCGGGTGGATGAAACCACAGGGACCCTGTACACCACGGAGACCCCCATCGACCGGGAGAACATGACGTGCAAGTTGTTCTCCTCCGAGTGTCTGCTGGAGTTCGAGATCTCGGTGACGGACACCCTGCACACCCTCCCGCCCATCTTGGTGGAGGGCAAGATCCTGGTGGAGGACATCAACGATAACACGCCCAGTTTTGCCAACCCCGTGCTTCACCTCCGCATCCCCGAGCACATCAACGTGGGTACGGTCTTCAACATCCAGACCGCCACCGACCGAGACTCCGGCACCAACGGTGTGGCCAGCTACGAGCTGCTGGGTACCGAGGCCCACGGCCTCTTCAGCCTCCAGGTGGCCGAGGAACACGACGAGAAGGTCCCTCAGCTAATTGTGACCGGCCACCTGGACCGGGAGCAGAGGGACTCCTACGACTTGACCATCAGGGTGGAGGACGGAGGGGAACCTCCCAGGGCCAGCACCGCCATCTTGAGGGTCACGGTCCTGGACATCAACGACAATGCCCCTAAGTTCGACCGCTCGTCCTATGAGGGCTCGGTGGAGGAGAACAGCCCGGCCGGCACCTCGGTGCTCCAGGTCCACGCCAGCGACTCGGATGTGGGCACCAACTCCCAGATCGAGTACACCATCTCCTCGGCCGTGGCTCCCGCCCTGCGCCGAGTCCTCAGGCTGGACAGGGACACGGGCTGGATCACGGTGGTGGGCCTGGTGGATCGGGAGGACATCAGCCAGTTCCGTTTCACCGTCTACGCCCGGGACAAGGGAGCCATCCCCAAGGAAGACCGAGCCACCGTGGTCATCACAGTCAGGGACAAGAACGACAACGCCCCCATCATTGAGATTAGGGGCATCGGGCTGGTGACCCACAGGGGCGGAGTGGCCAATATCTCAGAGGACGTCCCTGTGGACACGCCGGTGGCACTGGTCCAGGTGTCGGACCGGGACGAAGGGGAGAATGGGGCGGTCACCTGCATCGTGGCCGGCGACGTCCCCTTCCAGCTGAAGCCGGCCGGCGAGTCCAGCGACGAGAAGCGCAAGAAGTTCTTCCTGCAGACCACGGCCCCCCTGGACTTCGAGGGGGTCAAGGAGCACGTGATCGAGATCGTGGCTGTGGACACGGGGAACCCGCCGCTGTCCAACACCAACTCGCTGAGGGTCCGGGTGCTGGACGTCAACGACAATGCCCCCATCTTCAGCCAGAGGCTGACCGAGGTCTCCATCCTCGAGAACAACCTGCCCCATACCAGCCTGGTGAGGGTGGAGGCCGCGGACGCCGACAGTGGCAGCAACGCCCAGCTGACCTACTCGTTGAGTCTGGAACCCGAGATTCAGCACCTGTTCACCATCGACCCGGACACGGGCGAGATCCGGGTCAGTGGGGCGCTGGACCGGGAGGAGCGGGAGCGCTACCGGTTCGGGGTGGTGGCGGCCGACAAGGGCACGCCCAGCCTGAAGGGCAGCGCCACGGTGGCGGTCACAGTGCTGGACCAGAACGACGTTGACCCCCGCTTCATGCTCAACAGCTACAGCTTCTCGGTCAGGGAGAACTTGCCGGCCTCCAGCCCCGTGGGCATGGTGACCGTGTCGGACGCTGACAAGGGGGAGAACGCCCAGGTCACCCTCCACGTGGAGCCCGACCACGGCGAGTTCGAGATCCAGAATGGCACCGGCACCATCCTCTCCCGGGTCTCCTTCGACCGGGAGCAGCAGAGCACCTACACCTTCCGGCTGCGGGCGGTGGACGGCGGCCGCCCTCCCCGCTCCGCCTACGTGAGCGTGACCATCAACGTCCTGGACGAGAACGACAACACCCCCGTGGTGACCCGGCCTTCCAATTCGTCCTTCAAGCTGCTCACCCCACTGGTCAAGGCGGGCACGCCGGTGGAGGAGGTCGAGGCTGAAGACATGGACATCGGTGGCAACGCCAACTTGACCTACAGCATCGCCGGGGGCAACCCCTTCGGCCTCTTCCACATCTCGCCCCGGGGCAGCATCACTCTGGAGAAGGAGCTGAGCCGGAGGCATTACGGGCTCCATCGGGTGGTGGTCAGGGTGAAGGACGGAGGGACTCCGGCCCGCTACGCCACGGCGCTGGTCCACATCTTCGTGAACGACACGCTGGGCAACGTGACCCAGGTGGAGAGCTTGGTGGGCCACAGCCTGAACACTCCGCTCAACGTGGACATCGCCGGGGACCCGGAGTACGAGAAGAGCAAGCAGAGGAGCAACATTCTGTTCGGGGTGATCGCTGGGATTATGGCGGTTCTCTTGGTCATCGTGTTGGTGGTCGTGCTCCGTTACTGCAGGCAGAGGGAGGCCAAGAGCGGCTACCAGGCGGGCAAGAAGGAGACCAAGGACCTCTACGCCCCCAAGCAGACCGGCAAGAATGTCAAGAGCAAAGCCAAGAAGGCCAACAAGCCGGCCAAGCTGCCCAAACCGCTGGACGAGGAGGTGGCCGGGAACCAGAGGGCACTGAAGTTCAACTTGATCGACGAGGCCTCGGGGGACAGTCCGAGGATCCATCTCCCGCTCAACTGTAACCCGGGCAGTCCCGACCTGGGCAGACACTACAGGTCCAACTCTCCCCTGCCCTCCATCCAGCTCCACGCCCAGTCCCCCACCGCGGGCAAAAAACACCAGGTGGTGCAAGATCTCCCGGCCACCAACACCTTCGTGGGCACCGGCGACAGTAACTCCACCGGCTCCGACCAGTATTCGGATTATAGCTACAAGACCAGCGCCCCCAAGTGCAGCAAGCAGGTAGGCAAGGGGTTAACGCCGACACGCCCGGCTCCGCTCGGCTCACACCAGGACTATAGCGAGGGATGGTCGGGGGAGCCGGGATTTGGTTGCGGTTGAGTTATTCAGAGCTTTCAGTCCCGCTGCGCGGGGATTAGAGACTGACCAGGATCCGGACACAAACCTCCTCCAGGGCTGAGACCATGTGGAATTCTGTGGGGCTGTGGTTGTGTCTGTGGGGGGGAGGTGGGTGGGGGGGGCAGGGGAGAGAGAAGTGGGGGGGGAGAGGACCACATTTGGGAGCAGAAACATTGGGGATTTCACAAGCAAAGCAAAAAAAAAAAAGTTTGTGTGCCCCAAAATGACACCGAGTTGAACGACAGTTCTCTTCGCTTCGGTTCCGTTTGGTATATGGGTGTTCGGGGGTGGTGTTGGGGAGGTTGTTGGGGGGTGGGGGGGGGGGTTGTTGGGGAGGGATGGAGGAAAGACAGTCCAATGCACAGTTGCAGTGTTGCATTCGCTCACCTGTCAACACAGTCATGCATTCGCTCCTCAATCTCCCACCTCAGTGTTATGCTTTGATGCTATCAGTCTGTACCCGTGTTTCCCGTTCATTGACTATTATGTTCTCGAAACATTTTTTGGATATAAAAAGCTTCGCTTTTTACGACGCCGCTTCGAGCTTTTTTTTTCCCTTGAGAGAGAGAGAGAGAGTCAGAGCCAGCGAGCGCGGAGGGGAAGTTGCGGGTGACATTGCGACGGGCATTTTTTAACAGTAATCGTAGCAGCAATTTGAAAGAAGTTTTTTTTTTTTTTTGCCTTTCGCTTTTGCTAATCCTCAGAAATTGTGCGTTGATTTTTTTTTGTTTTTTTTTTTGCGCGCCTGCCTGTGAAAGATCTTGTTCCTTCGCCAGGTTCAGTCGCCAAACCGTTCCCGGTTGATTGGTAAAAATCTCGTTTCACAGCTCGCATCTGGGAGGGGAACTGATTTTTTTTTGTGCGGTGAGGGTTGGAGGGGGTTTAATTTTTTTTTTTTGCTTAAGATTTGAGGCTATTTCCTTGTGTCGGGGTTGGAGGGATGGGGGTGAGAGAGCGGGGGGGGGGGAGGTGGGATTGGGGTTACACGTCACTCTCTGACTAACCCCTGCGTTGGTTTTGCCAGCCCTTATCACATAAGCACTCTCAGCAACGGCACTAAATTATACTTTCATTAGAACGTAACCCTTTGGTGCATTAAATGCATAATGTAGCGGCTGAAATCTGAAGCCTTGCCAAAACCAATGATATCGCCCAGTGTACTGGGATCATTCCTACATATTAAGTGCCTGTAATATCAGGACAGGTACATTAGGTCCAGACTTTGGGTGTATGTGTGCGAGTGTGTGTGTCTTGAGTTTTTTCTTACCGATTGCCATTAACCCGTTGTTAGTTTGATGGCACTCGGTAAAGTTTCCGCCCGTCTTTACTCTTACAAACGGAGCATTTCTGTCCCGAGCTGAGTTGACGCAACAGGAGTTTAAGTGTAAACCTTTCTGTTGTGTGTGTGTGTGTGTGTTTTTTAAACTAGTTCGGCCTTTCACACAGTCAGAGCATCTCAAACAGCTTTTATAGGAGGCGGAGTGGGAGTTTCATAATAAAAGATAATAACCCTTGCATTTGATGCAGCGCCTTATCACGTCGTAGAGAGGACTCTAAGCGCTTCACAGGAAATACCGTAAAGTGGAGTGAGTGACTGTGTTTTGTTTGACGTTGGGTGGGAGTTGATGGGAGGTGAGTGTGAGGGGGTGGGAGGGAAGGTGATGAAAGGTGCGGTAGAAATAATAATAATAATAATAATAATCCTTGCATTTGATATAGCGCTTTTCACGTCGGGAGGACGTCCCAAAGCGCTTCACAGAACACACTGTAAAGTGAATTGACTGTATATTTGTGGGCGAACGCGGCGGCCAATTGCGCACAGCAATGTCCCACAAACAGTCGTAGATTGAAAATGACCAATTTAATTATTGTTTTGGGTTTTTTGGAGGGATTATTATTAGGCTCTGTGTGGAGTAAGGAAACTTGGAAGCCAGGAGGGTGGTGGAGCAAAGTAAAGGAATTTTGGTGGGGTTAGGGGAGAGCTCCGGTGGTCGAGGTGGGGGCCATGTGGAGAGAGCCAGAGCAGAGGCAGCGCGGGGAGTGATGGAGGGGAAGAGCTGTTTTGCTGAGGAATATTGATTGCAGAGGCGAGAGCTCAGGACCTTTGCTGCTCTGCGTTCATGTTCCTGGAGAGAGAGCGAGTGCCAAGCTTTCACTGCCTGCCGAGGAGAGGCAGGGAATAATTTCCGTCGCTGCCTTCTGCTGGGAATGGATTCAGATTGGAGCACAGTTCTTGTCATGTTATATAAATATTCTTTGGGTTTGGTACAGCGCCTTACGACATTGGAAGAAGGATGTCTCGAAGCCCCTTCATAGGATTTACCGTACGATGGGAGTGACTGTGTGTGTTTTGTTTGCTTTGCTCGAGAAAGTTCCGGACGTTTGCCCGACTCCCGGCCTTATCCCAAACCTCGTGTGACATTTCATGCGCTTTCTGCGAGTGGGGGGGGGAGGAAGAAACGGGGACGAATAATAATAATAGTCCTCACATTTGATACAGCGCCTTATCACGTCGTTGAGATGTCTCAAAACGCCTTTCGCAGGAGTGTGTGTGTCAGTCAGAGATTTGCTGTGATCTTGTCTGTTTTTACGGGGAATTGAGGAATGTTCTCCGAGAGGGAACCAGTCTCGACAATGTGCATCTGCCTCTCTTTCCCTCCCCCTACCCTCTCCCCCCCACCCCACCCCCAACCAACCCATGATAAAATACTGCGGGGGCATGCCTGGCAAATAATGACTGCATGGTGAGGCGAGAGCGAGTTTGGTGGTTGATTTCAGCCAAGACAGCGTTATAGATGCGGACCTCCTGGTAGATGTACGTGTGGGTGTCTGGTGAGGACAGATTTACTGCTCGGAAATAGCTCCAGATCCTCCCTCGCTCTCGCTCTCTCTCTCGCTCTCTCTCTCTCTCTCTGTCTTGAAGGAACTGCGGTTAATTTTTGACAAGCAGCAGTTTGCAGTTTTGTCTAAATCCGTATTGATGTGCTCTACTTAATGATGGTGATCTGATAAATGGTGCTGTTCTTCAGGAACCACCCAAGATGTCCCAGTTAATGACGACCGGTGCTGGAAGCAATAAAATAAGGCACAAGATGATCTGGGGCTGGATTTCCTCTCGTGTTGCAAGCAACCATTTTGTCACCCCCCCACCCCCTCCCCACCCACGACCCCACACCCGAAAAAAAAAAAACCCGGACTTTCTTAGAGGCTGCTTTTATGTTGAGCTGCTCCGAGCGAGGGAATGCATTGCATTGATTGCTGTTTTGCCTGAGGCAGGTCTGGGAGTCGAGCGAGGATCTCAAGTCAAGTGTGGAAGCACTTGAATGGCATTCAGACTATTGCGCGCGTTTGGACCAGGGAGTTTCTCCCAACGCATCCTGCAAGAAATGTTTGGACCAGTCTTGTGACCAGGCACCTGTCTGTTTCCTCCCTCCCTCCGCTCAGCGGGCTCCGGCTTGCTCCATGTCCCCCCCTCCGCCCCACCAGCAGCAGACAGCCTTTCCGCCCACGCCCTCTGGAACTCCATCCTGCATTCCCTTCGTCTCACCCCCTCCCTCGCCTCTGTCTCAAGGCACGTCTCTAGACCCTCATCACGTCTTCGAGACATTTCACCAAGCGCTTCACAGGATACACTGTAAAGTGAATCAACTCTTTATTTTGTGGGCGAAACGCGTGCAGCCCAATTGCGCACGGAGTCACTGAGCCAGAGTGGGAGACAGAACCCGGGTTTGCTTGAATCGCTTCTTGCGATTGTACGATGCGATGGGTTAATTATACGTTGTCCATTTCCTAGTGCAGTTCCCTCACGCCTTTCAGCTCCCGATGCAGTCTTGCCATGTGCTGCACTGTTGCCCGTCAGATATTGCTTGGTTTCCAGTGGCCCTAATGCATCGGTTGGTCAATATGGAGCAGGAATAATGGATTCCTGTCGTGTTCGGGTTGAGTCGCACCAAAACTCTCTAATGCATTTGAGTAATGTTCTTCGATTCAGCCTGACTCAGTTTTTGTCTCTTGTCTGTGAGTCAGGAGGTTGTGGGTTCAAACTGCACGTCAGGACTTTGAGCTCCCGGTGCAGGCTGACAATCTGATGCAAGTTGACGGGCTGCGTCCCTTGGGAACGCAATCGAAAGCGATCTGCCAATCGACCAACGACTGGGTTCCCACTGCTCGACAAACAGAGGCCTATGTGTGTGTGTGTGTGTGTGTGTGTGCGCGTGTGGAGTGAGGAAATTTGTGCAAGGTTTCGCCCCGCCACTCCCGGGAACCGAACCCGGGCCCTCTCTCTTGCGAGCGAGGCAAGAGGGGAGCTCTCTAACCCATTACGCAACATGTTAAGTTAAGTATTGCGGGCGGTGGGGGTGGGGTGATTGTGGGGTGGGGAGAGCATGAGAGAGGGAGTGAAAAGGCATCTCTGGCTCTGATAATAATGGGAAAGGGAAGGAGGTAAGTTAGTACCACTCAGGGCGATTCCCAGTTGGACAAACAGCAATGGGATTTGGGGAAAAGGCAGCCAAGTGCAGGGTTGCCTTCAGGGTTCCCATGGCATTCAGTGGGGAAACCAGGGACATTTCCATTTGAACCTACTCGGCTTAAGATTTTATTTTAACCGCACACGCGGAGAAGGTAAACCTCACAGGGGAGAGTGGGGTGGGGGGTGTGACAGTCAAAAGGCACACGATTCTGGGAGTGGGGAATGGTGTTGGGTGGGGGGTGGGGCGGGTGTTGAGGGAGAGGCAGAGCGTTTGAAATAAAATGAGACGTGTCTGCTTACGCAATCCTTGGATCAGACTTTGTCGGTTAGTCTCGAAACGTGATGGCACTCCATCGATGATGATAGACAGCAGATTCTTCTTTCCTCTCCTCCAGGGCAATGTCTTCCGCTG